GGAGGCTCAGTATTGGCAGTCAGGACAAGACTCGGGACTGATTGTGGAACACACCATCAGTTGCTCATATGAAGTTCAAATTGTTTGTTGTTGTCGTTGATTGCCGTTGAGGTAGACTCATAGCGACTCTATGAACGAAAACCCCAATGCCTTTCCATAGCTATCATTGTTTCTCCAAGATCCTAGAGTTTCCAGAGGCATCTAGTTTAGGAAGTGGATGTCACTCCTGCTTCCCAACATGAATAATTTTGGAAGCTCATCCAACCACTCTACATAAGGGGTAACCATTATGGTATTTGACACGACTATGGAATAGGGTTCAGCATCACAGTTACTCCGTGTTGTTCAGTACAGCAAAGAGACAAATGATTGTTGTGTCTTTAAAAGAATATTCTTCTAAAAATAATTAATTTGGCCCTCGAGCCCTACAGAATTTTAAAGTCACACCCTCAAGCAGGCCTCCACCTTTACCCTTAGTCTAAGGCTCAAGGCTACCCACTTTTGAGGGAGAAAAAGAATAGTAACACGCAACAAAAAGGACCCCAGAAACTTCCCTTTCCTGATTGCCACCAAGACGAGACCGCCACCAAGATATCCAGCCAGCCAAATTGATGCTGGAAAAAATAAAAACAAATGCAGGGGAGCCAAAATATGATCTTGAGTCTGTCCCATATGAACTTGAAAACCATTTCAAGAATATATTGGAAGCAGTGATCACTAAAAATCCAAGAGCAGCCCGGTTGTGGGATGACATCAAGGACATTAGCCATGATGTCATCACAGAGAAAGGAGAGAAAGAAAAGACCAAAATGGATGTCAGAAGAGATTCAGAAACTTGCTCTAAGAGGCAACTTCAAGATTGATGGGGGAAAAAGATTGACATTGTCAATGATTTAATCTAATGTTAATCCACAATTAATACCTTTGGTACCATCAGTCAGGAGATCAGCAGATATACGGCCTTGAGAAATCCTGCTGTCAGGCACCTCTCCAAAATCCTGAAGAGCAATGATGTCCATTTAAAGACTAAAGTGCACCTGATTCAAGCCATGGACTTTTCAATCACCTGCACCTGAGAGCTGGATGTTGAATAAGGATGGGAGAAGAAGGATCAATGCCTTTGAGCTGTGGTGTTGGAAAAGAGTACTGAATACCCCATGGACTGTACCAAAATAACAGATATGTCTTGAAGAAAGTATAGCCAGAATGTTCGTTAGAGACAAAGATGGCAAAGCTTTGTCTCATATACTTTGGGAATGTTGTTAGAAGAGGCTCTTTCTTGGAGAGGGACATCATGCTTGGAAAGTTGGAGGGAGGTTCAGAGAAAGAGGTAAAGACTCCCAATGAGATGAACTGACACTGTGGCTTTAGCAGTGGACTCAAGTGTGTCAGAACTGATATGGATGGCATAGGACAGGACAGCGTTCAGGTCTGTTGCTCATAGGGTCACTATGAAGTTATACATGACTCGAAGGCACCTTACAACAATAACAGCTCTTCCAGTTCTCAAGAAGTGGGGACAGAGATGAATGAGGAAAGTCTTTTAAGAAGAAAGTCTAGGGCCCATTTTTGCTAAAGTGGAGAAGTCATTGAAAACGAGGGACTCCCTCAGAGAGATGAACTCGATCCAGTACATTAAAGATCATGGAAAGGGGAGCAGGATGAGGCCTTCTACTGTTTGTACAAGGGGTTGTCATGAGCTCGAGTTGGCTGCAGCAAGTAACAAGGACATAGAAAACAGATGCAGGCTCTACTGTTCATCCTGGGAAAGTGGCCCCATCTCAAAGAATTAGTAGACTGACATCTGAACATTTCACTTTCCTTATCTGAAAAAGTGAAAGGGTACTGGCCCTGGTGCAGACAGAAATGCATCCTGTAAGATGCAAAAGATTGTAGCTCTGTCAAGCAAGTGTTAGCTCATTTTATTGGATAAAAGGCTCATGGTGGGAAAACACATACGGCAGTTCTAAAACACGTCCCAGAACCCTGGCTCTTTCCAGTTCATTCTTCTGCCATACTCAGGGTGTGATCTTTGAACTAACTATCAGAGGTAGCTGCTGGAGCTCCAGTCTTCACATCTAAATTCCAGGCAGCTGAAAGGAGAAATGCACTACCCCTTTGCAGAAGCCCATGCTAGTTCAGTTTATACTGTATTGGGTAACATTTATTTAAGCATCTAGCCACACCTAGCTCTGATGGCTTAGTGGTAAGGCATTGCATTGCTAACTGAAAGGTACATGCTTTGAATCTGCCAGCTGTGTGAGGAAGCTAAGGGATGACTGGAAAGGAAAGGCAAAGACAGCAACTAACCTGCGGCTCACTGCCTCTGAAAACTCACTGGATGGTAAACTCTGTGTCACTAGGTGGAGCACAACAACAGTGTTTCTAAGTGAGGCCAGGACACATAGTCTTTCAGCTACACAGACACGTGTTTAGCTACCAACTAGTGTTCTGTTTCTAAGGGTATAAAGAAACCTGTATATTGGAAGGCAATTAGGAGCCTCCTTCACATGACCCTCCTGTATAATGCTCTATTAAAATTGAAAAGGGGATCTTTCCAGCCGAGTACTTGAGCACAGTGTTGTTGTTATGTGCCACTGAGTCCCCTGCATCTCATAGCGACCCTTTGTACAACAGCTCTGAACTCTGCCCTGTCCTGAGCCAGTCTCACCATTGCCCCAGTTACTGTATCAATCCATCTCATCCGGGGCCTCCCTTTCCTGTGCTGTCCCTCCACCCTTCCGAGCATAATGTCCTTCTCCAACGATTGGTCCCTCTTGGCCATGTGCCCAAAGTGAGAGAGAGCTTCATAATCCTTGGCTCCGAGGACAGATGGTATGTTCAAGACGCTTCTCCAGTACAACAACTCAAAGGCACTGATTCTTCTTCTCTCATCCTTAGTCATTGTCTAGCTTTCTGAGCACACATGGCTTTTAACTGTGGTTCTGTTCTGATCTTGAGTCCACCCTGTCTTTCTTTTCTTCTTATCATTTAATACTAACTTCCTAAACCAAATCAGATCTGCTGCCATCAATGGCTTCTGACTCCTGGAGCCCTCAAAGCACAGAGGACACGTGCCCCCAGGTTTTGTTATTTTTACAGACACAGACTGCCACCCTTTCCTCCTGGGAGCAGTGTGACTCTTGGGCCTTTTGTGCAGCTGATCACTTAACCACTACACCTCTGGAGCTCCTTGACATTCTATGCACATCCTTGATCTACAACCACTGCCCTCCTGATTTATCCATCAACTCTGCAATTCTAGAGACTTCTGAGTTCCTAGCACCCTTTCCTTGGGAAAAGATAATCTTAATAAATATCCTGGGGTGTTTTTAACCCTTCTGCCATTTTGACAGGGTATGATTATGATCTCTAAAGCAATTCTGGTGGTGCAGCAGAGAAATGCTTGGATACTAACTTGCATACCCCGTGGGGCCGTTCTGCTCAGTTTTCTAAGGTTGCAATGAGTTAGCACTTGACAGCAGAGGATTGTTTTAGAATATACCATAAAGCATTCATTTGAAAGAAAATCCTTCTCCGTTAGACTGTCATACAATTAAAGGTCATAATATATATAATAGTTTTCTAAAATAATATATAACATACAATAATAGTTTTATTTTATACACACACACACACAACAGGGAGCTCTGGGGCCTAGTGGCAAGAGGCTGCGCTAAAATCCTGAAGAATTGTGGTTCGAGGCCACCAAAAGGATGGGCAGTTTTGTTCCGTGTGATTCACTGCCTCTGAAAACCCTCTGGAGGGTTAGCTATGGGTCAGTTCTGACCCAACAGTATAATATATATAATAGTTTTATTATATTTAAAAATGTTAAAATGTTGACTTTATTCATATAATGAGAGAGAAAATATTATTTAACTTAGTCTAAGAGTGGTGTTGCTAAGAGGTTTTTATTTTATGTATAAAAAAAGAAAGGTTTGGGTTTTTTTAAATTTGGGGATTTCACAAATAAAAGTTTGAAACATGAAAGAGATCACGTAACAACTGAGAGTCTGTCAGCTCTGGGAGATGGTAGCCAATAGAAAAAGGGACAAGAAACTCTACTGGCCATGGGCGAATGTTGAACTTACTTCATCTTGCTTTGAAAACAAGGAAATCAGTAAGAAGGCAGTGGGCCTTTTGTGTCTTTCTGGCCGTAGAGTGGGTGTCAGACTGCTGTTTGTATGCCCATCAGTGCTAACAAGGAATGGAATGCACCCAAACCAACCTAGCACTGGTGGCTTGTGACCCCCAGTGACCCCACAGCATACCCCAGAACTGCCCCACAGGGTTTCCAAGCCTGTGATCTTTCCAGAGGCTGACTGTCCTTTCTTTCTCCATGGATCATGTAGTTCGGTTTCAACTATTGACGCTCCGGCTTGCGCGAAGCACCTCCAAGGCTGCTGTGCATTGTAAGGTTACAAAGCTCCTCTCAGGCTACCCCTTTCTCTTCCTCCCTCCCACCACCACAGTTCCGTCCATCTCCTCTCTGTCCATTTTAGATTTTCAGCACGCAGCAGCTGAATGAGCAATAGTTGGTGTCCTCTCGGTGGCAGTGTGTTGTCTGTTGTGCTGTAGAAGTGAGTGCTTGGCTTCCCCCAAAGAGAGCCCCCAGTGGCTGGACAGGAATCCACCCTGGTGATGTGCTTCTGGAAAGACTGGGACTTAGGACACCCTCCAGTACAGTTCCACTCTGCCACGTAAGGTCACTGTGAGCCAGAGTCAACACCAGCAGTAAGCTAAGGAAACCTGTGTTCACTGGTTTGGCTTTTTTAAAAAAAAGAAACTGTGCTTTTAAGGCGCTCAGTCAGGTATGCCTGTTCTGTAGATCTTGGCATCAAGCTGCCACAGTCCCTGACTTGGACTTCATTTTCTAGAAAATAAAAACAATTCAGGAGAAATTCCATAGGTTGATTGAAGTTGTCAAAATGTAAAAAGGGATTGTACAAAGGAAAGCCACCAAGACAGGCACCGTCCTCGCACCACAAGAGCCTTACCTGCCCTTGGTACTCCACGGGTCTCAGGCCTGCGTACACGGGCACAAAGCTGCTGGCCAAGAGGACCTGGACAGAGAGCACAAAGCAGTGCGCATACGTCAGCCATTAGCCGTCATGCTGAGTAGTCAGGGTAAAGGGCTGTGATATTAACCAAGAGGTTGGCAGTTCAAACCCACCAGCTGCTCCATGGTAATCTGCTTCCATAAAGGTTTACAACTTGGCTCTGTCTTACGGAATCCCTATGAATATTGGAATGGACTTTACAGCAGGGATTTCCCCCCATGAACCACATTCAGTGAGTAAGCCCCTTAGACTTCACATGCTCATTTCTATCATTGGTAGGTACCTTTCGGCCTCTGTGACAGTGACAGAAAAGAACTGGGATTCCCAGGCTCTTCATCTTTACAGAGCAGTGGCCGAGGAGGGCCTAATTACTGGCTTGGTCCCAGGGTGACGTTCTCAAGCAGTTGCTTTGTAATCAATACAGACACAGCCATTCAGACTTGCTTGGACATGTCGCTCATGAACACGTGGCTGTCTGCAGCTGGAACGCTGCTGCATTTACTTCTGCACAAGCGAGTGGATGCAGACAGCTTTGTCTTGTACCTGCTTATTTAAGTTCCTTTCAGATATTCAAAATTCTGTCTTTCCTTTAAGGCTGTGCAGGCCAGGCATGCACTGAAGGTGCCCTGGCAGCACAGCAGGTAAATGCTTGGCTCTCAACCACAAGGTCAGCAATTGAAAGCGATTCCTGAGAAGAAGGGCCTGGCAATATGCTTCTGAAAGCTCATAGCTACCGGACCTGCGCTATACACGTGGTTTTCTGCTCAGTATACATGGGCTGTTATGACTTGGAATCGGCTTGACAGCCTCTGCTTTGATTTACTTTAGTTAATACCATAAGACAGATTTCCAAAGCCCAAGCACCTCTGACCTACCAGAGCGGAGTTGCACCTGCGGCTCACGGGTGCTCTCTCCCAGGTTACCAACTGGTGGCGGTAATAACACATTTCTGTATTCTAGTGGGGAGTTCTGGTGACCTAGTCAGTAAGGATCTGTGCTGCCAGCCCTAAGTCTCTCAGTGTGAATTCATTAGCAGCTCCACGGCAGGAAGATGGGCAGTCACCTCCCGTGTGATTTACTGCTTCTGAAAACCCACTGGAGGGTCAGCTATGGGTCCCTTCTGACTCAATGGTACGCAACATAACATGTTCTAGTGACTTGGCTGGGATACATAGCAAAGCGGCGGCAGTTAAGAGGTGCGACTTTCCATTTTATCTTGCCATTTAGGAAAGCACCATTTCTTCTAGTGGAAGAACTTGGGTTCTCACAACTCTTCAGAAATGCAAATGCCTGTTTGTGATGTGGCAAATCCTGAGAAGCTGGACTCCATGAAGCAGATTGTGGTATTGGGACTAGAAGACTCACTGATCACATGTGATGTGCAGATGACACAGCCTTGCTTAGTGAAAATGAAGAGGACTTGAAACTCTTGCAGAAGATCAAAGACGACGACCTTCAGTGTGGATTATCTCCACATGAAAGCAAACATCCTCACCATACTGGTGCAGCATGATCAATGGGGAAAGGTGAGGCTGTCAAGGATCCCATTTTGCTAAGGTCCACAGTCAACACTCATGGAAACAGCAGTTAAGAAATACTATCCTGGGGGAAACCTGGTCCAAAAGACTACTTTAAAAGTGTTTTACAGGAAAGATGTCACTTGGAGAACTAAGGTATGCCTGATCTACACTATAGTGCGTTTCCACCATCTCAAATGCATGGGGAAATTGGGCAGTCATAAGAAAACTAAAGAACTGACGCCTTTGCGTTGTGCTGTTGACAAGGAAAAGGTAACAGATCATATACTGAATCAACCTGCCTTGGAAGAAATACAGTCACAATGTCCCTTTGAAGCAAGGATGGGAAGCATGTGAACATGCTACCAGGAGGGCTCATCACTGGAGAAGAGCATTGTGCTTGTTAACAAGGTGGTAAGCAAATGCAGGGGGACACTCAGTGAGCTGGACTCACAGGGTGACCCGGCCAGGTGAGGATAGCACGGGGCTGGAGTGCCGCTGCTGCTCACAGGCTCGCCTGAGCTGGAACCAATTCCGTGGTCTCTAACACCACCACAAGTGTTCTATCTGAAAAAGAGACAGCGTTGGGCACCTTGAATTTCAGCCCCAGCCTTTCAGCTGTGTCTATTGTCAGAGAATTCAGGAGTGAGTTTGGGGTTTTGTTTCCCTAAGTTGTGTTTTTAAGTAATAGATCATGGATGGACCCCACACGGATTTGTAAATATCTGTGCAGAATCATAGAGGATTCAGAATGCATTATTCTCAAAGAAATAATATTAGAGGTCTGATTTTGAGGTCAGCTCTCCAAGAGCTTATTTGTTCTGATCTGCAGCTGAATGATAGAGCCAGCCACCAGCATACCGCAGTTTCTGCAGGAAAGTCCTCTCGGTGGCAGCGCTTGCGGCCCACACAGCTGGAGTGCATTTCGTGCCAGGCGTGCTTCAGAGCCACTTACCGTGCACTTGGCATCCGCTTCTCTGAGGACAGTCTACCTTTAATCTGCGCCTCTTAACCTCTAACAAAACATCCACTGCCAGGAAAGACTCGCATGCTTTCTGTCTAAGGAGCTCTGCAGTGCTGTGGTTAAGCATCGGCTGCTCACGGAAAGGTGAGTGGTGTGAACCCGCCAGCAGAGCCTCAGCAGAAATACACCTCCGTCTCCTCTTGCGAACATGTCATCCTAGCAGAGGAATGTGGAGTGAAGGTGAGAAGTATGAGATTGCTCAGAGGCACCTCACAAGAAAGGCCTGGAGATCAACTGAAAAATCAGCCACTGGAAATCCCGAGGAGCTCAGCTCTTCTCTGGATCACACGAGCTTACCAGGGGTTGGCGTCAACTGTAGGGAAGCTGTCCTGATGCTTTTTATAATCCATCTAAAAGGAAGGTGCAGCTTTGCCTCCTTCAAGGTAACCCAACGAGGTGGATTGACACAGTGACTGCAGCAGTGATTTCAAGTGTAACAGATGGTGAGGACGGCATAGGTAGGCTGGGGGGTTCAGGTCTGTTTGTAGGGTCACTATGGGTCATACTTGACTTGATGGCACTTAACAGTGACAACAAAGGGACAGTCCTCAGCCGTGTCTGTGGTCATTGTCCCCTTCTCCACAGTAGGAATGGAGACACCTGCACTCCTGGTCATTCTTCCCAGCGAGAGCTGCAAGCTCCTCCCAGCTCCCAGGAGAGAAGGCCCCCAGTTCCAGGGAGGTGACTACAGCTGCTAGGTGTCTGTGAGTCAGTTCCAGCACGCAGCGACCCCATGTTCGCCTGGCCCTGTGCTGTCCTTATAACAGTAGTCTGTGTGAGCCCTCTCTCTCATGGACTGCCCCCTCCTTTTAACCTGTGCAAAGAAAGGGCGGCAGCCTCTCTCGCTTTTGTGGAGCACGTGGGCCAGCCTTCCTCTAAGGCAGATTCCTGATTTCCAACCATCCATGCTCTAGGCAATATTCTTCGCCAACACAATAATTCAAAGGCATTGATTCTTCAGGCGTCCTTACTCAGTGTCCGGTGTCTATATACGCATGAGGTGATTGAAGAGACCTTAGCGTGGCTCACACACACCTCAGTCCTTAAATAAAAGAGCGCATCTCGTTCTCCCCAACTTGATTTGCAACAACAAGCTACTTGCTCAAGGGCCTCCAGCTAATTAGTGACTCGGCTGAACCCACGTTTCCTTGAGTATAAAATGTATGCTGATAGTGTTGTGAAGACCTGGATTCACAAGTTGGATTTATGATATTTTTTTTTCTTCTTTTGGCCAACTATAACTGTGGAGTTGAATATGGACTAGACTGTGGAGTGTCGGAAGAATGAGTAAGCCTTAGAAGGCCTGAACCACAAAGTGCCTTCAATGCAAAGCTCGCGAGGTATGTACTCATGCCTTGCAGACCCATTAGCAGGAAATGCAATCACTAGAAAAGGACATGGGTTTGGTACAGTAGATGGTCAGGGACAATGAGGGACTGATGGACACAAGAGCCTAAACAACGCACAGAGCTATTCCAGTGATGATGCAGCTGGGATGGCAGCAGGCAGTGTCCCCTTGCTGCCCGTGCACTCACCGTGGGTTGGTGCCAACATGTGGGCAACTAGCAACAACCCTCTCAGGCACCTGTGTACTAGACCGCTGACAGCACACATGATTCGGGCAGTGCTGCGTCCCTGGCAGAAAGCAGCTGCTTTGATTAGTGAATTCTTAATTGTGTTAGATGTCACAAGATGCCATCCCCACCTAGAGTTAGATCTGTCACCTGCCTGGAGGAAGTCACCACAGTGGCCATCCTGGTTCAGGCTTCCACCTTGAGATGGTGGCTGAACAGGAGAGGTGACATCACATTAGCGGGGCATCTCACGAGGAGGCAGAGCAGGTGAGGAGGAGGAAGATCATTCCACCCATCAGTGGGGGCTCCTGACAGAGAGCTGCCTCTGTGGAACAATAGCTCAGGCTGCTGGCTGGTTTTTTTTGTCTGGCGAGTTTGTTTACAGGCACGGTAATTGCATTCCCCCTGACTACATTTGGCCCCATCATCAATTGGCCACTCCTTTAAAGAAAACAATTACGTACAAGCACAATGTAGGGATTTAATGAAGTGAGTCAGCAAATGCAACTTTTCACTCTAACAATAACGGGAGCAATTTATGGACAACACACATTTCATGAAATGACAGTGCTTAGCGTTCTTAAAAGGACCAAAGACACTTTATAAATAACCATTCATTTCATTATGCTGCAAAGACACATGTGCCCTGGCAAACGTTCACCACGCCCAAACCAGGAGTCTGTTCCCCGCTCCCCGTGTCAAAGGGCAGTGCGAAGCTTACAAGCTAATGCTCAACTCTGTCTGGATGAAAAACACTACCCAATTACTTTCCTGCCAATAATAACAGTGAGAACTCTCCTCAATGATATGAAAAGTGCAGTGAGCTGGAAAATACCTGTCACTCCTCTGAATCAATGCGTCTGTCCTGTCACAGCTTCCTCTCCTTTTTATAGGGGCTGGTGATCTATGTATCAGACTCTGTTTTGGCAGGAAATTAGTGTATGGAAGGAGCAAGTGACTTTTCTCTTGTGCCGTCAATTTAACTTCTATATGTCTGAGCTGAAATGGATGCCCTCGCTGCCAAGCCAGAGACAGAGCCACCGACTGTTGACACTGACAGCGACCCAGGCGGACACAGCAGAACTGCCGCACGACCTTCCCAAGGCAATAAGTCTTTATGGAAGTGGACATGCTCCCATGGAGCAGCTGGTAGACTTGAACTGTCCAACCTTTGGTTCACAGTCCCACATTCAACCTCCTGCACGATCAAGACCCTTTCCAATGTCTCTCTGAGAAAGCTCCCTGCCACCAAGCTGGTTCAGGCTCAGGGAAACCTTCCTTGGGTGTCCAAGGCTGTGAGTATGAGTGTGAGTGGGCAGATGCTGCCCGTCTTTCTCCTGAAGAGTCATGGTGGCATTCGAATTGCCAGTGTGGCCGGTCCTTTTGGTCTTCAGTGCAACATCCTAGGGAGCCCACCGTCGGAGCTCCTTCCAATCCATCCAGGCAAACTACCCTCCTCTCCACAAAAGCACATCCTTAACCCCAGCACCGCCGTGTGATAGAACAGGGGAACAGCTCCATGGGCTTTTCCCCAGCTGTCAGCTTTATGCCAAATGTTTGGGCTTTTTTTCCAGTCAGTCGAGATTCTTTTCACCCTACTGTAAAAAGTTTCTGATGCACACAGGGATTTACTCTTTAGTTGGTCCTATTCATCAACATTATTCTCTCCAGATTGTGCATTTCTGGTTGTATTTGGCAGGCTCTTTATACCATGGGCTAGGCCTTCTAAGCTTGGGCCCAGTTTGTCTCTGATGAGCTTTATGGTTTGCGGCTTTATCCCAGGTCTCTGATACTCTTTGAGTTGACTTTTGTGTATCGTGTGAGATGTGGATCCTGTTTCAACTTTCTGCAGGTAGCAGTCCAGTTTTACCAGCATCATTAATTGAAGAGATTGTTGTTGCCCCATTTGTAAGTTTTGTTTCCTGGTTGAATATCAGTTGAGCACAGACACATGGGTCCTTTTCTGGTTGAACTAATTCAGTCTCATAAGGACAAACACTGCATAAGGTCATTACTGTAAAAATAGGATAATGTGTATGGGAGTCTAAGTGGAGAATGGGGTAGAAGCAGAAGGGTAGGGATTGATAGGGAGTGACACAGAGGGTAGCCCAATTTGGTCAGCGAAGGACTAGGGTTAGGGGAGGGTGGTTGTTGTTGTTGTTATGTGCCATCGAGTCATTTGTGACTCATAGCGACCCTATGTACAACAGCCCTAAACCCTGCTCTATCCTGTGCCAATCGCATGGGTAAGATCCATCAGGGACCAGAAAAGACAGGTTAATGGTGGGCATAGTCCAATGGTGATTAATTTCATAAAACATAATGTATGGGAATGATTGTATGAAACATAATGTCAAAGAAGGAAAGTGTGGGGGTGGAAATATGCACAATGACCCCCAAAAGGAGTCATTCTCTTTGGGTATAGTTGGGTCCATTTCAACCCAGAGCAACCCCAAGCAACACAGCAGAGTTTCCTGACCTGTAATCTTTATTGGAGCAGATTTCTAGGTCTTTCATAGAGCTGCTGGGTGGCTTTGAACTACTGACTTTTCGATTATCAGTCAAATGCTTTAGCCATTCTAGGCACCTTCCCCAGATTGATGGTTTGTTTTCTTTCACTCTGATGATGCCTCTTTCTTCCCTTTCTCTTATTCTTTCTGGCTAACTACTCCATGCACATTCCAAACAGCACTGAAAAGAGCCCACGGCTGCTTAGTCAATTTTAACGTGTGGTGACCCTCTCCAGCGGAGGAGAACTGTGCAGAGGTTTCCCACAGCTCACCTTCATAGGAGCAAATGGTTTCCTTCTCCCAGAGCAGCTGCTGGGTTTGAACTATTGACTTTGGTAGCATTTCCCATATATATATATAAACATATATATATTTATTTATTTTAGCTCAGATCTACCCTTCTTGTTTTAATTCTGAAAAATGTTAAATCTTTCTTACACTAAACATTGAGAATGCTTCTTGAACAATACAGGATAAGTGTTAATTATTCAATATTCTCTTTACAAGGAGTTGCAAATTTCTGTCAACGATTTTTCATCTGTTCAATGAGCTCAAGTAATTACACCAATTCTCTGGTTATCATCCGAAACTGAGGAGGTGGGAAAGAAGAATCCTGTGTGCCTTCCGCTGCAGCAGGTAATCAAAGACACAGAGGGTTAAGGCTGGGGAGTGTGCTGCAGGTTAGACGTCAGGTCACAAGGGGTCTCTTTCACGGAACCCACAAGCCTTTCTGGGGGCTCTGGAAACCCACAGCCAAACCTGCTGACATCGAACCTGTTCTGACAGCCCCCCTTCATCAGGTTTCTGAGGCTACAACTTTGTGGGAGGAGACTGCCTGTTATCAGTGAAACTGCCAATGCACTATGCTGCCCAAAGGGACATGTTAAAGATGAGCTGGAAGATGCCATAAGCTAGGGAGCTGCAAGAGTGAGAAGTAAATCAGGCATGAGATGTAGGCGGTATCCAGGCTGGACTTTCTGCAGCTGGGATCGAGCGCGGAGAGGGCTGGATCGGGCAGATGATAATAGAGGGGAGAACATTCCTCTTGTATGAGACTATAGCATGTGGTCTGTTTCCTGTGCAAACCAGAGGGTTCCTTCAAAACATTACAAGCCTCTTGTGTCCATAGTGAGTATTAACAATCTGTGAATCCAGGCAGGGGGCATCACATTGTTCCTTTAAGCTTCCCCAGCCACTGCAAGATGATGATGACATAAAAATGTCTTTTCTTATGATAATAAGCACTTAATTAATAAGTGAGAGTTGTTGTAATTGGTACTCCAAGTACAAATATCCTAATCCATGTAGTTGCAAGGTAATTCTATCTGTCCACTGAATATTCCATTAGGTCTTTTAAATGGTATCTGAATGAGACTAGAAATCCACAAGTTGCTGACTGAACTCAAGGAGCTGCAGTGACACAGCTGCTAACTGGAAGGCTGACAGTTTGAACCCACCAGTGGAGAAAAGGGAGCTCCTGTAAAAATGACAGTGCAGGCAACCTTGTGGGTCCAGCTCCTCTGTTATGTGAGTAGGAAAGGACTTGACAGTGCCCTACAACCACATGACCAACCTTCTAGTCATCACACTTTGCACATCAAAATGCACTCTCCATACCAAGAAGCTCACCTTGGCTTCTGCAAAAGGGGAAAAGAACAATTTAACCCAGCTCTTTCAAGAGCAGTGCTCCTTTTCTGGTTTGGTTTGATTTATTGTTGAGCCTGTTTTGACTCATGGCAACTCTTCTGATTTAGAAACGTCTAAGGGATCACATCACCAAACTCCCTGTTAACTGCCACTCAATCAACCAAGCATTCTCTCATCCAACTGACTTGCCAATATATTTGGAGAGAAAGGTAAAGGTACCAACACATAAGGGAATAAACAGAATGGAGCATAGAGGAGATCTGGGCTCCAGAACTGCTTCCCACTGGCAGTCAGCCTCACTGGTGCTTTTGTGGCAGGTGCTACCAGATCTCTTGTGACTCTAAAGTAGATTGTCCCACAGGATTTTTTAGGCTCTAATCGATTTCCTGCCTCTGAAAACTTGCTGGAGGGTCAGCTATGAGTCGGTTCCAACTTGATGCTACACAAGAAGTCTTTATGAGAAAGAGCATCATGGTGGATAAACCCTTGGCTGCTACCTGAAAAGTTGGCAGTTCTAACAACCAGCAGGTTCTCTGAAGCATCATCGTTTCTGTCACCAGACGTCAACTTGGAACAAGCATTTCCTTTTGGACAGGCTCTAAGGAAGGGTTAGGGTTAGGGTTAGGGTTAGGGTTAGGGTTAGGGTTAGCGTTAGGGTTAGGGTTAGGGTTAGAGTCATGGAAGGCTGTGTGCTTTCTCCACTGAACACACCAAGAGGAGAAACAGCAAACGGCACTGAGTGCATCACAGAGCAATTTTTATCAAGTCCAGTGGTAATTCTGATGTAGTGCCGAAGGTGCTAAGTCAAAGCTTTCCGAGCTGCACCTGTATTCTGAATTGATAGTTGGTAGTTATGAGAACTGAGTGTCAGGTATCTGAACAGGGCCGGGCTTGATGCCACAGGCACTGCTTTCCATGGCGGAGCCTCCACTGCCAGCCATTCCTTTAACGATTAGCAGGGGACCCTGCGGGCCACTTCTCCTTTGTCCTCTGGATATATTCCAGAAATATGGAGTAGAAAGAGTCAAACCAGGATAAATGGGGTTGGAATGCTGAGACTGACTCTATGGCTACTGGCTTCAGTTGATTTATTAACTGCTTTTATGTTGTATCAGGGACCAGCATTCCCTAGTAAGCTCAAGGCCAGACATCTCAAAGCCATCACCGAACGCTCATCATGTGCCAGGCAGGCAGGAAGGCGATGGGCTCGGTGGCAGCATGAAGCTTGCCATTCGGAGGCAACACAGGCAGAGGACCTTTTATCGTGCTGTACTGCATCATGATCCGCAGCTGCTGCACCTGAGACAGAGTGAAGGTTTGTGGCAAGCCTCGGGCCAGCACCTTTTCACGCCATGTTTCTGACGATGGCACGTGCCCACTTTGGGTGTCCATGTCCCACGCTGGCCATCCTCAGCAGATCTCACACTTCTGCACGCACTTACTTCATAGACCACAGGGGAGGGAAACCCACCTTTCCTTACACACTGGGTAGTGACTCAGTTGGCCCCTAGATCTGCGATTACTACACTGATCTGGAACTGAGCCCAGTGTCTCAAGGTCTGCCTGGATTGAAATGGCAGCTCCCCACGCCACACTATGTTCCCCAAGTGCTTTGTTACCTTAATGAGATCTTCCCTGGAGGAAAAACTGGAGACCAAGGAATTTTCCCTGGTTTTAGTGTTGGTGATAGATATGTAGAGTCGGTTCTGGGCCAGCTCATGGGCGTTGGGAGGAAGAATCCACTCAATTCCGCTTCTAGGGAAGACAAAGCCATTAGTTACTGAACAGCTCGTGCAGTAGTTCAAGGGTGAAGATGCTGAGCTTGCCACAGTGCATGTGGAAAGGCAACAACACTGTCTTCGTGGATGGCCACAGGACGGACTGGGTGTGTACCTCAAGCGTGCCAGAAAGTCATAACCGGGTGTGATGGCCCCGAAAGCCTGCCTTCGAGTCTCTTCCGCAAACTGATAGGTGAATTCGTTGCATTCCTGAAAAGAGAAAGTGAAGCAATGAGGCTCTGACTTGTCAGCTTGGCAGAGCTGAAGGGTAACGAGACAGATCAACACAGTGGCTCAAAGCAGTGATTATGATGGTGGTGCGGGCTCGGGCAGGGCTTTGTTCTCTTGTTCTTATGGTGGCAACGAGTGAAAAAACCCTCAAGCTTTGCCAAATGGGTCCCTGGTAGCACAAGTGCTACAGAGCTAGACTGCCTGCTAAGTAGCACGCAGTGGGTTCAAAGGTACCAAAGGCTGGCAATAAGGTGCAGGACTGAGTGAGTTTGTCCTGTTGTACATGATTTTTGACATGTGTGGAAATCGACGCATGGAAATTAAAAGCAGGCAGCCTATCTAGGCTCTCATGCATGCACATACATGCCACACCAGGGTATAACTTCTAATGAAGACCAAACCCCAAACAAACAAGCCAACCTGCTGCCCTTGCGTGGATTCCTACTCAGGACGACCCCATGTGTTAGTGAGCAGAGCTGTCTCCCAAGATGTCCACGGGCCATAGTTGCAGAAGCAGAGTTGCAGGCCTTTCTCCCACAGTGCCACTGGTGACCTTAAACAGCCAGCCTTCAGGTTAGCAGCTGACCACACAGAGCTCACTCCATCCGGAGAGCTTGTTGATGTCACCCAGGCTCTGTCCAGCACCATGCCTCGTGGAATGTGAGGGCTGATGCAAAGCTCACTGCCTTCCTCTGTTACATAAATGTGCCTACCATCGAGAAGACAGCTGCCATCAGATGCTCTTCTTAATTATACACACACAAGCTCAGGACTGGATTAATTACTCCAGAATTTGTCACAGCAGTACAAAGCTCCAAGAACTTACACCATCAGTGAGAACTGAGCTAAAAAAATTTTGCTGAAAGGAAAAAAAGAAGCAATCTTGCTAAAAAAAAATTTCATAAGCTAATTAGAAAAGAAAATGAAGTAACCTTATTTAAAAGCAGCTTAAGATTTCCTTTGAAATGGATAAATAAGGATGGTCTAGATAAAGAGAATCATGGTATACCTTTCAGTTAAGATGCCATGCTACTGCCATTCTTTTCATAATGCAACTGAGTCAATTTTTGATAGCAAGATAAATAGAAATAGGCCATCCAAGAGCAGAAGGGCAGGATTTGCCTAGAGATACAGTTCAGAAGGCAAGAAGGGACAGGACTGGAGGATGAATGGAAACTAGGCACGGGATGGAAGTGGCAAGGGTGCTATAACAATGTAGGTATTGTAACTGATGTCATAAAAACGACATTATGAATGGTTGAATGGAAAACCAGTTTGCTCTCCAAGTGTTCAGTCAAATCACAATTAAAAGTTATAAAAAACCACCCCAAACCCACAACACATACTACCCATACTACCACTGTAAGCACAAAAAATTAGAGATTTCACTGCCTCAAATTTAAGCCAACTCATCAACGCCTTCCTATCACAGAATGGCAGTGATGTTAGAGGGTGTATTATCACAGTGTTCCCAAATCACATTCATTCTAAATCACACTTAATATATTTCTAAATTTGCTGAGACTCTGAAACCTTGTCTATCTAAATCTAAAACCCAGAATGTGTTCCAACCTAAAATAAAGCTTGCACTAAAAGGCACGCTAGGAGCCCAGATGGCTTACATGCTCCTTTAAAGAAATGGGAAGAAAATCAGTTGATGTCTATTCACCTGTAGCACTAGGGCCCCAGGCATGAAGAAAGGAAATGATCTTCAGGTCTAGCTGCCTCCACTAACTACTGCCTCCTTTGTCATGAGCTCAGACCTGGATAGTGTCCAGGCACCATTACTAAATGTTTTGAACAGAGACCCAGTGGATGGTTCTTGATCAAAAGGAGGAAAATGATAAAGCAAATCTTCAAATTCTTATTGGCAACTAGACTTACTGGATACATAAGACTGAAAGAAGCCAGGAATCTATTGCCTAGCAACACTTTTTAAGCTTTGAATGATCCTATGAAGCTGTCTTTAAACATAGTTTAGCTCACTTAATACAGAATGCTTGCCTTGGGTAGCTCTGGTGGCCTAGTGGCAAGAAGCTGCACTGCAATACCAGAAGCACGTGGTTCAAATCCACCAGATGGTCTGCTGCAGAAGGAGAGGCAATCTCCTGTACCAGTCAGATCCAATTTGATGGTACACACACACAAAATAGTAACATAAAAATTGAAAAATAAAAAATTTAAAGAAGAAAAAAAAAGAATGCTTGCCTGGAACACTGTACCCTTTAAAAGTAATAGTGTTGTTGTCGTTAAGTGCTGTCGAGTTGCCTGCAATTCACAGCAACCCTATGTACAGCCACTCAGAACCCTGTCCTGTCCAGAGCCAGTCTTACTGACTCCAGTACACCTACCCCCATTACCCCAGTTACTTTATCAAAACATCTCATCTGAGGTCTTCCTCTCCTGTGCTGTCCCTTCACCCTTCCGAGCATGATGTCCTTCTGCAAGGATTGATCCTTCCTTGCCATGTGCCCAAAGTATGTGAGATAGAGCTTCAAAATCCTAGTCTCCAAGGAGAAACTTGGTTTAACCCCTCTCCAAGACAGGCCTATTTGTTTTCTTGGCAGTCCATGCTATCTTCAAGACAATTCTCCAGCACCACAACTCAAAGCCATCAATAATTCTGTCATTCTTATCATTGTCCAGCTCTCTGATGCACAGCAAATAATTGTGAAGACCATGGCCTGGATCAGGCACACCTGTCTCCAGACTGACATAGTTTCTTCTCAGTACTCTGCAAAGGTCTCTGATAGCAGATTTACCTAATGTAATTCATCTTTTGATTTCCTGACTGCTGGTACCAAGGATGTTGATTGTGGAGCTGAGCAAGCTTTAACTGTTAACAAAACCTCAATCCCTTCTCTGTCTATCATGGTGCTGCCAATTGGCCCAGTGGTGAGAATCTTTGTCTTTTTGATGTCGAGCTTCAATCCATATTGAAGATTACAGTCCTTGACCTTCTGCAACAAGCACTTCAGGTCTGCCTCACTTTCAGCAAGCAAGGTTGTGTCACATGCATAATATAGGTTGTTGTTGATAAATCTTTTTCTGATCCTGAAGCCACATTCATCCAGCTTCCTGAATGCTCTGTTCTGCATATAGATTGAAAAGGTATGGAGACAGGAAGCATCCCTGACGTACTCCTTTCCTGATTTTAAACCATGGAGTGTTTCTTTGCTCTGTTCTGATGACTGCTTCCTGGTCTAAGTATAGGTTTCACATAAGTACAAAAGAAATACTCGTAAGATCAAAATGACAATAGGACCTCTACAGAACAGGTGAATATATTCCAAGGCACAAAGTCCAAATTAAAAATGTTGAAACAGTGGAGCAGATAACGAGCATGGCTAACAGTCTGAGGAACAGGACCACGGGCATTAATGTACAAAAGCTTAAACTGCTGACTAGGGTGTTACGTACATTTTTACCAAAATAAACAAAGCCTCATGGTGACTGAGAAGATTAAATAGAAGAACGTAGAAAAGACTTTACACAATGCTAGGCTCAATGCAGCATCTTAACAGTGTCTGTTAAAAAAAAAAGTCAAACCTTATCTCTTTAAAAAAAAAAAAGAAAAACCAAATTCTAAAGGTAACCTGCAATTAAAAGCTCCAGGATTCCTAGCATGGATTTGTTATAGTTGAATTCTAATTTTCCTGCCTTCAGAATTTCAACTACAGCTATTAATTGTTTTTCTAGTCCTGTGTAAGTAGATGACACATATACTGGTAAAGAGTTGCTGTAACACAAATGTATTGAAAAAACAGAGCTTGCCTGTCTCCAAGTCCTGGAGGATAAGTCCTAACCAGGGTTTTGCCCCATGATTTCTGGCAGCTCATAGAGAGCTAAGAACAACATTTTGAATTACACTTCTGAAATTTTAAAATTACTCCACTCCCTTCCTTCCTGGGCTGCTTCTTGTTATGTGCTGTCAAGTCGCAACTCAGTTACCCTAGGTACAATCGCTCTGAAGCCTGCCCTGTGCTGAGCCAGTCTCACTGTCTCAAACACACCTACCCCCATTACCCTAGTCACTGACTCATCCATCTCATTGAGGGTCTTCTTCTTGTACACTGTCCCTCCACTCTCCTAAGCATGAAGTCCCTCTCCAAGGACTGGGCCCTCCTTGCAACATGCCCAAAGTATGCCAAATGAAGCTTCAAAATCCTTCCCTCCAAGGAGCAGTCTGTTTTCACCCTCTCTAGGACAAAGCAGTTTGTTCATCTAGCAGTCCATGGTGCTAGATTCAAAACACTTGTCTAGCACTACAGCTCATAGGTATCATTTTTTCTCTCATCCCTAGTCACTGTCCAGTGTAATAGCAAGTAATAAATAGCAAGTAATTGCAAAGAACATGGCCTGGATCAGACACACCTTAGTCTCTACACTGACATTGTAGCTCTTCTATTGTCTGTGTGTTTGCGGAGTCGAGAGCAGACCAGGGAAAAGAAATGACAATTTTCAGAGGTTCATAGCAGTCTCAGGCAAGTAATCCTGAGGCATTATAAAGCCTCTACTTTTATTAGCAGAAAATCAAAGCTTATAGTAAAACATGATCTCATAGGGTGGGTAAATGTTTAAACACATGGAACAAAGTCTAGGCAATATGGAACAAAGCACAGATAAGCATGAACAGTTTTCAAGAAAGCATCTTTGTACCTATGAACAAAGTCTTCCTTCTCTAAATCACCTAAACAAGAACATCTGAAACTTTCCAGGTCCCTTTCATGGTACATGTTCTAGGAGGTCTGAGACTGCTTTCATTCCCATCCATTCTTGGCATTCTTTGCCTGCTTTCAGTCATGGTAGCCAAGTCCTTTTGCAAGTACTCCATGACCACTAGTAACCCTAGTGAACTAGAATGACTCTACACTCCTCAGTACTCTGGAGAAGTCCCTGACAGCAGACTTTCCCAATGCAATTTGTCTTTTGATTTCCTGGCTACTGGCTAGGAGAGTTGTTTGTGGCCAAGAGTGTTGACTGTAGAGCCAAGCAAACTGAAGCTATTAACAGTCTCAATCTCTTCACCATCCATCTTGATGCTGCTGGGCTAGAATGGGTTAAACCCTTGTTATTTTATTACCACTGAGAATGGGACAGTATGTAGGGAATTAGCAAATGCAAATATTCTTCACCTACACAACAGCTCCTATTGCCAGTGAACACAGAACCACTGTTTAGATAGCAGAGAAGGAGTCTCAAAACCTGAGGAATGCTTCTTTTAATTACTCTTGGCTAAATTACTTGGAATTCAGAGTTTATTTTCTGATGATGAGAATGAAAAAAAAGCAAACAAAGCCCCAAAGTGAAATGGCATGCCCATGTTGTTATTTGTGTCCTTATTTGTATATAGGAGGAGTGTTTTTGATTATATTTTTGAGACCTTGAAAACAGTCCCTGTAGTCATGAAGACGAAAAGCAGAAATATCCTTGAAACAGAGCTAGAATCTTAAAATGACTTAAAAACTCAAGAACCCTGTGTCACCGGCATCCTAAGTAACCTTCTTTTGCAAAATCAAGAGCATAGTTCCCTAAAGATGACATTTTGAAAGCCTGTTTCCCAGGCAAAGCACTGCTTCTGGAGTTCACATTCATCTATTGTTGGCTCTTAATTTCTTGATGAGAGATATGACCCAGGTCCTACTTAATTACCTCTATTTTTCCTGGCGCCGTTAGCAGGACAGTTGCAACTAAGGATCCAGCAGAAGCCCCCGCAAAGGCCTTCACATCTTCCAGGAGCTTTTTGCCATGTCTACAGAATGCCGATGCTGCCCCCAAGTGGTAGATGCCCAGAAACCCACAGGCTGAGAAGGACAAGTTGATGAGCTTCATTGTAGCTGCAAAACTGGCAGGGAGGTGGTGGGGGGAGAAGAATTAATTTAAAAGAATGCAAACTGGTAAATAACTGAAAGCCTGGCAGTTCGAACCCACTCAGCTGGGGTGTGTTTGTGTGTGTAAAGATCTAGTGTTCTGCAGCCAAGAAAACCCTCAGGGTAATTCAGCTGTCACATGAATTGGAATGGACTTTCTGGCACACATAGCATTCCTCAAGCTATAACGTCTTCTGCACTTCTTTTTTCCAAGGCATTGTTTAAAACATTAGCAGTGGCTCTGAGAGAGAAAGATGGGCAATCTCTGCTTGTGCAGATTTAAAGCCTGGAAACTCAATGATGGGTCAATTCTAATGTAGATTCTAACTCAAGGCAACTGTTAGTGAACTTCATTTTTAAAGTTCAGAGTTAAGATTCTAGCCTGAAGGTATGCTATTGCAGCCATCAGTCTTTTCACAGAAAGATTTGGCAACCGTTTGCCCTAAAGCCATAGGATTTTCAATGTGATGACAAGGGATTTGGCTTTTTTTGTGTCATTTAATTGTAGTTAAGTATCTAAATCATTCAGGAACCATCCATTGTCTTATTCTTTCCTCATTCTCAATTTAACTAAATATAGTTCCCTTAAATTAAAAATAGCCAAACCAACCACAAAAGGCTGTACAACATTTCACATTTGTCGAGTACATAGACTTGCTATCTGATATTTAATTGCTTATTAAAATACAGACATATAAATTCCAGTTGGGAAAGCATTTGGTGTTTTTGCTTGACCTTTTTAACCTTTTTTTAATTATTGCAGAAACATGAAATTATATTGTATCAAATTGTAAATGAGAAATATATTTGCTCTTTGCAACACTGAATTTCAAATACATAGTGGTCCTTACTCTTCTCCCCCTTCACTCCGTATTTAAAAAAAACCATGCAATTATTCAATATCGCAATAATTCCACTTAAATATTATGCATACCGTTGCCAACAATAAATGTATAAATTACTGAAACATATATATACTGTCAGTACCTTCTGATATTATTGGCAAAGGTAATTGGAAGCTAAAGGAAATGGGATATTTAACATTTTACATTTGCGCTGAATGTGCACATAATCTGTTAGTTGTCTGATCACATATATCTAGCTGTGCTTTAGGATTGGCTCTGGGGTCCTAGAGTCCAGACTTGGGGACTTTCACATTTACCCCAAACCAGGGTTCCCTTGCATCGGCTGAGCTCTGAGGTGGAGGGAACACTCAGTCACTCAACATTGAGAAGCAGGGTCCCGCTCCACAAAGCACTAGCCCCCGTTCTATTTCCTTTTTGCAAGGGCGGGGGCGGGGAAGTCAAAATCCTGGAGCCTGGTCTGCGCTGGCCAGCAGCCCGCAGGCCACCAGGAGGTGTGATTCGGATCCTCTTCCCTCATCTCCCCTCGCAGCCCTCCCCAATGACCACCCCTAGAAAGGTTGGTGGATGCGGCAGCCTCCCCCCACCCCCCCAACCTTGTCCTACCAATACAGGCCTGAGGCACTTCCGTGCAGAACCGCCCCTTACATGGAAGGCGGAGCCGGCCGTCACTCAACGCGGCTCTACCTATCAGCGCTTGTTCTTTCTGGCCGCGCGCCCGCCCGGAAACTTCTTGTGGAAGAGGTCGGGCCTGCCTTCGCGCCCGGCTATGACGACACCGGCTTCTGCCCAGGCTCCACCTTCTCTAGTTAAAAGAACAGGGCGCAACAAGCGTCGTCCGCTCTGACTCTCGATGCCCGAGTTCCGGCCAAGGGCGGGAGGCAGCCTTTTTGTGAACGAACATGCTACCCTGAAATACCTACAGTCTCCTTCTGCTCTCCGGACGGCTTCAACATGGCCGGCGGGCCTGCCCTTAGCTGCGAGTCCGTTGACCCCGAATGACCCTCACTTGTGCACCGGAACTGTTTGGTCGGTTATCTGGAAGCGGTTCCTTGTTGTCTCCGCCCCCTTGTACCTCAGGGCGGTGCATCTGCTCAACTGGGCGGAGTCAACAGCTTTGTGCCAACCCTGGATTTGGCTTCTTTCTGGGCAATTACCTGAAAAGTTTGGCTTTGGCATCTTTCACGATATATGTCTCTCATCTCCCTTGTGCTTTGTGACCTTGGCCAGGTTTCACAATCTCTCAGAGCTGACTTGGAAAAAAACGGAACGGTGAAGTCCGAGTCAGCGCGAAATTGTAAAGCAACATGGTCTGCCCGATGTCCCGCCAGTGGCACCTCTGACTGGTCATATTTGAGGCGAAACCCCCACCCAGATGTACAGGGCTCTGCCAATATGTTTTATCCTCCTCCTATGTCTTCCTCGCCTGGTGCTGAAGCTTCACTGGGTTCCATTTCCTAAGAATAGATTCCCTTCCACCAGCTGGGGAGTAGAATGTAGGAAATGCCAAATCATCTGCCTGAAGTAAAATTGGGCCGAAGTTAAAACCCGTCATTGCTCCCGCCTCAGACTTTCTGCGTCTTTTATTCTGCCATGTCTTGTGTAAGCAAGAATCTCTTGGGTTGATGCTTTTCATTCTCTGAATGAAAATTATCTGAGGCAGCTAGTCCTGAAAACAGGCGAAAACCTTAGCATCGCTTGTCTGGCTGACTTCTTTAGCGTCAGGATTTACTGGAGGGAAGGTGAAGTGCACCTCTTCCATCCTTGGGCTTTCTCTGTCTTCTCAGTCTTAGCCATTGAGTGTAGCCCTCCAATCCATAGATTCCTCCAGGAAACAGATTAGAAAGGAAGAATCCCAGATGCCCTCCTCACCTCCAGAATGAGAGTATCTGCATCTCAGTAGAACCACCCAGCAGTTGTGCTGCATGTTCATGTTTGTGCATTACAGCGAAATCAAAATCTCTGGTTTCCTGAAGTACAAGAGGTAGCAACAGTTTAAAGAGAGACATTTGCAGATCTGGATCCTGGGTAGCGATGGCAGAGCAGCCATCCCTTTCCTCAATTCTGGCGCTGCCAGCAGAAGCCGTCAGGGGTTAGAAGGAGGCCGTAACTCTGGGCCACCTGGACGACCTTATCTTAAAGGAAGGATAAACTCACACCTGGCCAGCGGGCAGAGAGAGCAGAGCCCTCCAAATGTAAGTCTCCCAGGAAATGGGGCCCCATTGCTGTACAGGTGGATCCTCACGCATTTCAACTCCCTTCTTCCTACCCTATACCGTATTTCTATCCAGCCAGTTAAAAAAAGTTTAGCATTATAAAGTCAGGAAAGCTGTCATGGGCCTTTCCCATTTGTTTTGTAATCTCAGTGTCAGACCTAGCACTTGGCACATAGTACATGATCAATAAATGTTGGTTCTGGATGTTAGGTTTAAGTGAATTACTGTTGTGATCAGAATTTTTAGTAATTTGATTGCCTTTAAGAACATTTTCTCAAAATTAATGTGCTTATTTTCACTTGTCTATTTTCCGTAGTAATTTCATTTTGAACGGATTCCTCTCTCTAGGTATTTAGCAGACATTTATTAAGCATCCATTGTGTAGCAGCAAGCATTGTGCTGGCGTAGGGATCTAGAGTTGAGAAATCAGTTCCTGGTCTTCTGGGACGTCAGTACATAACTAGGAAATTGATCCGAAGCCAAGATCCCAGTTTTCTTGCATGCAGAGCCTGAGGTCTGGGGGGGGCCTACAGTAGTGCCTGGCACACCAAGAGGTCCCTAAGAATGGCAACTGCATTCCCTGGTTCATGCTCCCATATGTTGCTGTTGTTAGGTGCCATTGAGTCAACTATGACTCATAGTCACCTTATGAAAAACAGATCTGAATCCTCTGCCTTATCCTGTGCCGTTCTCATCAATTCTGACCTATTTGAGCCCATAGCGTCTACAGCTTCTTATTGAAGGTGGTCATCACCTACACTGACCCTCTCGTTACCCTTCCAAGCAAGATGTCTTTTTTTTAAGGACAGACTTCTCAGTACAAGGAAAAACTTGCTGCTTCTAAATCCTGCATGAATTTCTGGCAGTTCTCTGTTCATGTATTATTCTAGCCGATTTTGATTGTTTTCTGCAAGATTTTGCTTAATGTGTTATACTAATCAGTACTGAGAAGCCATGCTGTCAGTCTAGAGATCAAGGTGTGCCTAATCCAGTCCAAAGTCTTCGCAGTTACTTGTTATGTGTCAGAAAGATGGACAATGACTAGGGATAATAGAAGAAGAATCCATGCCTTCAAGTTGTGGTGCTGGAGAAGAGTCTTGAACATATATGCCAAAAAATAGGTCTGTCTTAGAGAGGTTGAAAGCAAGTTTTTCCTTGGAGGCTAGGATTTTGAAGCTCTGTTTCACCTATTTTAGGCACGTGGCCAGGAGAGATGGTCTTTGGAGGGACAGCATAGGAGAGGAAGACCCCAGATGAGATGGATTAATACAGTAACTTGGGCAATGGGTGTGCATATGTTGGAATCAGTAGACACTGAGACACTGGCTCAGGACAGGACAGGAGGGTTCAGAACTACTGTACATAATGTCACTATCAGTCACAGGCGACTGGGAACAAATAGGAATCTCTTCCAGTCCCTTAGCCAGGTCTTGCAAATTTCTTGCCACAACTTGGACCACATCCAGGGTTGCATCTGTTTGTTATAACATGTCACTTAGTATTCCATTAATTCCTAGGTTCTCATTTTTTACCAGTGCCTTTAGTGCAGCTTGAATTTCATCCTTCCTTGCTTTTGTATCATACACCACGTCCTGAAGAGGCTCTATATCAGCCAGTTTTTTCTTGGTAGAGTGACTCTGTGTTTTCTTTCCAACTTTTTTTTGATGCTTCCTGGATCAGTCAAGATTTTGCCCATAGCATCCTTCAAAATACAACTTGAAGCTTGAATTAGGTTTTTAATTATTTCAGCTTGAGAAATGCCAAGCGAGTTATTCCCTTTTTATTTTGCTTTGGCTTCACTAGCTCTTTGAAAGTTTCTCTTTATCCCATTTACCTCAGCATATCTTCCCCTTGTTTTGGCTTTTCTTCATTCTAGTGCAATT